CTTGCAGTGTTCTGGAGGTCATGTTGAACAATTGTTATTGCAAGAATAAATGAATGAAGCGTGCTGTTTTCTTGTTCACTGTTTTTCAGGTCGTCAGCGGCCTCTACCGTTGACATTTCTAACTAAAAAAGTTTTTTGCTGTATGCTGTTTTTGAAATTTGTGTTCATTAAAGAACCTTGAGAGTTAAAATGCAGTGGTAGGTGTAGAGCCTAGGTGCTGATCCTGCTCAACATTCCATTCATTTAGGCAAGTACTTGGCGATGTAGAAAGATAATCCAGAATGCTTGAGTAGATTCCTATTTTCACTGTGCTGTTCCTTTTTAGGACTCCATGCATCATATTTGTGCACCACGCTTGAGAGATTCACAGCTGCTGGTCACGTCGGCAAACACCATCAGAATCATGGAAGACACTATCCTTTCTTTCTCCATCTGTTCATCTCTCCGTCGGGAGAAACCTTTCGCACAGTTATATAGTTCATTTTTTCTGCTCAGCGCAATCGCGAACAGGGAGAAATGCAAATTTCTATTTCTAGCAGTAAATTTTTAAAGCTTTAACGAAATTTTGGATCACCCTGTATATATGTATTATCTTATATGCCTAAATTTCGGATTTAAATTTAGATTTTTTTTTTTTTTTAAATTTATAATATGGGTATTTTTTTCCCTTGCGTTTTTAACAACTGCTGTCGGATTAAATGTCATTTTGGGTTAACTGTGGATATCGTCTTCGGGATAAATCCGGTTATTCGGGAAGCCTCTGGGAACCTGAAGTTATAATACTTGCGTAATCAATACTTTAGAGCAGAGATTCCCAAACTTTTTCTTGCATTGACCCCTTTCAAAGAAATTATTTTCTTCTTATACTTTTCTCCATAATATACATCATACAACGTTATCAGTATGGTATAGGGAGAGAACAAGTTTAATGCATTTTTAGAAGTGCACTTACATGTTGATGATGTAATTTCCGTTTGAACGTAACTTCTTTTAACCTATTTAAGCAGCCGGCATGGATGAAAGTATAGATAGGTTTGTGTTAATGTTGCGCAGACCCTACTAGACTGGAAGCGAGTTATCGCTTAGTCTGAAACAAATCACCATGGCTAAAGTAGATTAAAATAACATTTTTATTTAAATCTTAAATGTACGGAAAGCACTGCTTGTGTGAGAGAGGAATCTTTGCAATTTGCGGGAATTTAAATTAACATAAGATCGTTAAACATAAAAATCATAAGAACATTAACTTCAAGTTTAGGTAGCGTAGTCTGAGACCACATAAAACAGACTGCTCAAGCTGGCTCTAGGCGCTCATTTTAAACGTTGGCTAACACTATACTAAAGACGAGAACAAACTTAGGCAGAGCTGGCGATGGTAAGTAATAGCAAGACAAGGCTGCCAGAAGCTCGAACCATAAAAATTCAAACCCTCAACTTAAAATGTAGAGTCATTAGGATTGTTTTTTAAAGCAGGAGTCATGAAAAATATGCAGTGCCCTCGCCGAGCCTCGAACCTGGGACCTCTCGAAATACACGCCGAGTTTGCTGACCGTTACACATGAAGGCATGCTAAGGAAAAAGGAGAAATACCTTATATACTTCCCCTTTTAAAGGGCGACTAGGAATTAGGGGACTCAATTGCTAAATCCTGGTGGTGGAGAGTCATCACCCACCACCCTTTTTAGTTCGGATGCCACTGTAGAGACATTAGGTCATTTCGAAGAAGGAGGCATGAAAAATGAGCAATACCCTCACCGAGACGCGAACCTCGGACCTCTCGAATACGTACCGAGTGTGCTAACCGTTACGCCACGAAGGCATTCGAAGAAAGCGGGAACAATACCGTATAAAATACACAAAAAACTAATTTGCATTCTGATGAGGAGAATGCAAAGAATTTATAGTAAAGATCAAATCGTAATGATAACTCATTAATTAACGTACAGCCATGTGAAAAAGTTTTACATTGTATTTTTATTTAAATAATGCATAACGATGGTTGCAAAAATGAATCTTTCTTTAATTTTTTTTTAAACCAAAACAAGCTGTTTTTTTTTTTTTTTAAATCAAGCAAGCTGACCAGGAAATTCGTTTTTTGGAATTGCTTCGTAGTAGTTCAGATAAAGGAAATTCTATTAAGATTTCTTGCTTTTGAATTTGTCTTTGTATCTATAATGTTGCATGCTAAAATAGAAATTTTGAATTAATAATACCTTTACTTGCGAACTGAGGAATTGATTAATTCAATACGTATCTTATGCACAATATATGAAGCTTCTGAAATCCATACTATAATGATTTTATAGCGCATTTATGGTAGAAAAGGTGTATTTTATGACCTAGAAAAAAGATTTTAGTTGCTTGGGTTGTTAATCATACTGAGGTCAACCAATGGAAAGTAATTGAAATATTTCGAGTATGAGGCTTACCAGGTGATATTTAAAGTGTTCATTAGAGTCTTTATCATGCATATTTGCAACTATTTTATGCAGGCTTGTCATTTTTTAAAAGGAAGGAGGTTTTTAGGCAACACGCTTGAGTTTTAATTGCCTTCTTGGTGGACTTTTAAAGATATAATATGCAGGGAAGAATGGTGGAAACTGTTTCATTCTCACCTTTTTTGTATCAATCGCATGTTTTCAATTTTCCATCAAATCAGTTCTCAGAATTTTGAAGATCTCTGGACAAAGTGTTTATACATCACAAAATCTGCATGTAAATAATAACACTTATCCAGTGATATAGATTCAGCGAATAGAATGCTATTAATAAGCTGTTGAATATATTGCAACGTTTTGTGAATTATTTATAATACAGTACAATATCCACATCGGTATTTTTAAGCTGATTGCGAAATGGTATATAATATATATATATATATTATATATATATATATATACCATTTATATATATATATATATATACCATATATATATATATATATATATATATATATATATATATATTGTACTTTTAATAGAAGCTTGGAAAAAAGTGTTAACTTTATTTGCTATTGACTTATTTATTAGTAAAGATTCATATCCTGTACTGCCTTTTTTCAATTTTCATCCCGTTTTATTCAAAATTATGAACATTTGCAATGCATGCGTTAAAAGGCTGTAAGTAAGTACTTTGCTCAGGTTCTTCATTTAGCTTGCTGCTATTTTGTTAAGAATAAAATTGTTCGTGAAATACCTTGATCTGGTCATTTAGCCTTGTTTGTAACGTCATCCCATCTCATCTAGCCAACCCCATTCCAAAATAAACAAAACAGATAGATCTTTGTAAGTAGTTTATGTTCTACAGATCTCCTCTGCCAAAAACCGCAACAGCGAATGCAGCTAGCTGATAACGCAAAACTCGCTGGCGGTGCCAATACCCTTCCTTAACCCTATCTTTCAGGGTTAGAGGCGTTCCAAAAAAAGTTCCGTCTCTCCCCCTCATCCGAAACTTGCGCAAGGCCAACGGGTCTTCGTTTTTGTCTCCGCCGGGTCTTTGTTAGGTAGCTCTGCCCTCGGTTGTTTAGTCACTACCTGGAAATTATACTCCGAATCCATACCACTAGATGGTGTCTTGGATGCCGAATGCTGTTGGTTTATTTTCCCACCATAGCAATTCAGTCTGCTTGTGGTAGAGGTGCATTGAAAACAGAATTCATGGACTTGACTTGCTCAGGTTTCCGTAGTGTGTCCAAGTCTTCGAATATGTTATCGGTATTAGATCAATGCAAGGTCGAACTGACTGTAATTTGCTGAATACTTCTTTCGTTTTTTTTTTTTTTTTTTTTTTTTTTTTTTTTTTTTTGTAAATCTTTCGAAGATTTTTAGCGGTACTTCACTATCATTGCTGTAGCACTTCATACTACGATTTTGGTGTTGATATTTGTAATGTGTGGTATGCATTGTATTTGTAGTGTTCTGTGTTTGCTTTAACAACTGGTTTGGATTGTTATCCTGGTATTTTGGATAAGCTACTACTCTGACGAGGACACTTCAAGTTATATATATTTCTTCGAACTGATTTTGCTTTAAAAATATTTTAGTTCAGACCGTCATCAAACACGAAAAGATTTGTGATTTATGAATATATTTTTGATCTCTAGAATTTTGTATTGTTAATTGGTCAGAGTTTGACTGAAACGATTTTAAAGTTCCACATGTGATTCATTCTATTATTTTGTATCAAGAATAATTACTTTGTACTATAGAAGAGTAAGCATAACTGCTGAACCAAGGAATAAAAACATCTCGTTCTAACTCTTGGTGTTTTACTAATCTAAACTATTGGCTGTCACGTTAAGGTTTACGAATATATATTTAGGATCTGCATGATTTTTTTTTCCCCCATTGAAACTGTTTAGTGTTTGATACTGCTTCAGAGTATTTCGTTTATTTTGTATTTCTGTGCTTTAAATGCATTCTTCCGTGCTTGAGCATTGCGCTTGAATTGTTAAGATTGCTAGCTTGATTCGCAACGTAGAAATAAACCTTCAAAATTCAAACATATTGTAGAAGCCGGATGCTGTAAAAACCATAGCACTTGCGATTTCTACATACTGTCAAATCTAGGTCAAGATTTTCCCTGGAGAATAGTGTTGAACAGAAACTACTTCAAAATTTTTTAAAGCCCTAAAATAATCGTGTTACAAATCCTGATTAAATTCCACTGCTTTCTTGTTCAAGTTATCAGTAAATTATTTAACTGCCGTACGAATAACAGATTGCTTTCAATAGCCATTTGGAATAATTGAAATTTTTTGTAGCATTCTTGTGTATACTTATCTCTTTTGAAAGTATTAGTTTGCAGAAGGCATTGTTTTGAAAAGTGGTATCATTAGAAATTGTTAACTGGTATCTAACGAGATTTAAGTTATTATTTCTAAGAATAAGTGATTTGTTGTCCGTTTCATTATGCGTGAAGTGAACAAAAATAAAGTTATGAACGGTGTTGATGAGGAAATTACAATGAGAACTCACAGATCTCGTCTGGCTTCCTTACAGGAAGGTGGTGTCGTGGGGCGAGCAAGATTTCGGAACCAGAATCGAAGCCGATCGCACTCTGCATCTTCTACGGACAGTTTTGGTTCGACGCACAGCTCATGTAAGTCTTTTTAAACGTTATTTTTTATTTAATTTGCTTGCTGTGGTTAAAATTGAATTAATGATATCCTTGGCGAATAGAGAAACCTAACCATATTAGCAGCTCTTTTCCTCATTAGAAGATTTTTTACGTAAAACTTAGCATGGCTTTTATGAATATACAGTGTCCATAATATGCAGCTTCATGCCATAGCAACCAGAAAACTATAATATATAAAAAATTATTTTAAAAATGATGTGGCAACAGCTGAAGTTTTCCTTTTTTTTCTCGCTGTGCAGTTAGTATGTGTACGTTTGTTTATCGTTGGTTGCTGGAAAATAAACGGCAGTATGCTTTCGTCTATGTACGCTGTAGAATGCCAGGCGTTAGGAAGACGAAAACCGTAGTATGTATTCTTTGACCTGATAGGCTTCGTCTTTGTTTAGTAAACAAAGTGTTTAATAAAGCCCTTCACCCAAAAGAAGTAATCGTGCGGTATAATCATTCTAACGGTCTAATCCGTATCTGTAAAGTATCTCTTCCGACCGCGACGTCATTACTGTTGTTTTTCGTGATGTTTTCTACGAGACATTTAGTATCGTCCATTTGCTAACTGCATAAACTCCGGTAGTGATTTTTGTGTTTAAAAGTAAATAAGTAAGCCATGATATTTTTTTTGCGAATACACCATGAACTTAAATGCACACATTAGTACTGCGATGATGTATTTTATACAAGAGCTCAGGCCGCGAAATGGCGTCTTTTCTGGCTCCTGCAACTAAATCCAGAGCACCACCGTCGAAATGAATCTCGATGGTAGCGATCAGAGACGGTTGGTGGGATCCGAAGAGGAATCATTTGCTAACGAGAGAAAGAAGGCAGCATCGGGAAAATCGTACGCTTCTTTTATGGAGCCTTTATATATGCAAGCACAATAATTATTCTATGTCAAGAAATTAGCTACTAAGTTAAAAATTGCCAAGCGTATCATTAACTGAATTTTAACTGATATGGAATGTCTATTTCATTATATTATAATAGTGTGAGCTGCACTTGCTAAATCTGTTAAGTATGAGAAATTGGCTTAGAGGCTGCTATGCTTCTCGATTTTAAAATTAATTATTAAAGCATTCATTTGCCATTCTAACTTTTACACTTACATATTTAATGGTCCATCCTTATAATAAGCTGAATTTATATTTTTTTTCCCCCTCTGAAGAGCATTTAAGTTTTTACAGATTTTTTTTCCCTGAATTTTTCCCCCAATCTTGTTTAACTGTGTGTCTCTATGTATCATTAATTGCCATGTGCCAGTTTATAACTAATTTTTTGTCACTCTAAGTCTGTCAGCACTTACGTCTTCCTCTGTCTGTATATGTCCAAATCTTTCATCTTGTTTTATATCTCTCTATCTTCATTTTCTTTTCTTGTGCTTCAGTCTTTCTTTTTCCTACCTTTCTTATTCCTTTCTTTCTGACTATATTATTTCACACTTGGCCTTTTCTTTTATCTTTCTCATTGTCTCTTTCCGTGTCTGAGTTATTATTTATCTTTTTGTCTAGTTATTTATCATTCATTATATGTATTTAACATATATAAGGGCTGTATTAATATTTATTTGATGTTCATGTACTAACAGTTCCTTCTGTTTTAAGCCGCTTAAACTGAAAACAGTCAGCCAAATCGACTCCGCAGGGTTTTTTTTTTTTTTTTTTTTTCTTTTCTTAAGAGGAGAGAGAGGGAGGGAGGAGGTTCATGGATTTTCATCACTGCGCCTTCAGGATATTTAAGAAATAAAGTTTGTAAGTTGTGCACGTTTCCAAGCATGTGTTCATAACATATGAGGGTGGGAATAAGGCACAATATTTGATTTCGAAATATTATCATCTAATAAATCTTGTTCGACTTTTGAGTCTCGAGTTATGCCACGCTACCTGTAGATAGTATCATCATAACTCATACAGAGTTGCCAACTCTCCCGATTTAGGCGGGAGACTCCCGATTTTCGACCGCTCTCCCGCCAACCCGATTTACAATATATTTCTCCCGACTTTTTCTTATTCTTAATATTTCTCACGATTTTTATGCAACTTGGCTTAATACTTTGTTATATGAATAAAAAAGTGCTTTTGGACGTCTGAAAGCAATTGAATTTTCTCTACATTATATCTAAAACAAAACCTTGCGAATCAGATAGCTTCTGCTTTGTGAGTGAGAGCATTATACGTATCCAGAAACGTCATTCTCTTCTCCAGTTCTCCAATAGGCTTCGAGCTCCACTGCGTGTCAGCTGGCATATATTAGCCAATGAGGACAAAGCAAGTTGTTATTTGGACGTTCTTTTTAGTTATTTCGTTCATTTGTCCTGAGTTGTGTGAGTACACGTGCTTAGGAAATAGTTTTAGAAATTATCATCTTTTGTTACGTCTGCGAGAAAGGTGAAATACCGTGTACGTTTCAAAAATCGTACACAGTTGACTTTCCTTCCATTATTTCCTCAAGAAATGTAATAAATTTGCGATGTGTACCGCCTGTCGTTGCGATTTTTCGATTTCGTATGTTTGAAGGGCGGATGTTCTCAAACATGTGCGTACACAAAAACACAAGGATAACATGAGTTGTTTTGAAAAAACGAAAAATTAAATTTTTCTTCGGAAACAAGGACCAAAAAGTTATTTAATGCAGAATGTCTGTCTCTGCCTTTTTACTGGAGCACAACCTGCTACTGAATGCATCGGATCACGCTGCAGCTTTATTTAGAAAAATGTTTTCCCGATAGTGAAATCGCCAAGAAATACTCAAGGTGCAAGAATCAAAACAGGTGCAATTGTTAAAGAAATGGGTTTGAAAAATAAATCTTCAGTTATTGATTGCATTAAAACAGCTCCGGTCTGCCTCTCTACTGATGGAAGCAATAATACCGATTCAAAACTGTATCCAATTGTTGTTTTTTTTTTTTGATCCAGAGTCTGCAGAAATTGAGTGCAGTTTACTTTATGTTCCCACTTTATAAGGACATTTGACAGGCTTTAATATAGCACAGCTATTATTAAAACTTTAAAAGAAACTGCAGGCACTCTGGATAATTGCTTAGCACTTGGTGCCGATAATGCACCAGTATGGTAGATTTGGAAGGCTGGTGTTGCAGGCATCTTAAGAGGAAAATTCAGATTATGAGGTGCCTGTCACCTCTTAAATTTAGCAGCTGAAAAAGGGGCACTTCTTTACCAATAAATGTGATGAACACATTGTTGATATTATTATTATCTTGAAAGGAGTTCTAAAAGGAAGGAAATTAAAACAGTTCCAACCCTGCGTAACAGCATTTACATTAGAACTTGGATGAAGTTATAAATCAGCTACGATTGACACCCAGTGGAGTTAATTGCAAAACTGAAGGTGCTGTGGAATTTTAAATATAGTAACTGTCTAGAATTGGTGTTGTCATCTTGACGTTCCTTATAGTAAGCAGAGTGTGAGAGGATCCTCAGTGTTGTTGCGAAAACGAGGACTAAATTTAGATCTAATTGAGATGGCACATTAGAAATTTTATCAGCGAAAGCAGGCCTACGTGGCAATTGCTGTGACACAATGATAAAGTTTCTTTCTTAAAAAAGAAATCTGCCACTGTTTATAACATTTGTACGAAAACTGATTAAAGAGTCTTTTTTTTTTTTTTTTTTTCTTAACTGCGTGTAGTAAAAATTTTTTATGTGTAACTATATTTTTATCATTTAAAAAGTCCTTTTAACATTGTGAAAAATCTCCTGATTTCTTAAAAAAATCTCCTGATTTCTTAAAAAAATCTCCTGATTTTTGAGTGTCATAGGTTGGCAAGTATGCTCATAGTTCCCCCCATCTAGAAATAAATGCTGACTTCACTAAATTTATAATGATTGATTGGTACTAAAGATTCTGATGTTCAAAATTATGACAGTTCTGATATTTGGTCAAGTATTTCCAGAACTAATGGTCACATTTTAATGAAAATTGGTACAAGCATAGATTGATATAATAAATGTCATGCAACAATCATGGTACACACGCACTTTTATGCATAAGGCTGATTGGTGCAGAAACGACTAAATAGAAAGTGACAGTCACACAGCTCTCACAACGTAACATTATAATGAAAATGAGGCAGTTTATGAGCCGTTATGTTGGCCGACCTGACCCCTGCAGTATCGCTGTTTTCAGGTCCTAAAATGTTTTGTAGGGTAAAAAATGAGTTGCAGTTGCTGTCCTAAGAGCGTCGCAGACATGTCCTATGTGGTCTAGATTTGGTAATCTGGCTGGCTAATTCATTCGGCAGTTTCTAAAAAAATCATCCACTATGTTGAACTTGTGTAAATGATCAGCGTAACTAATATGTATAACCTTAACATACATATTAGTTAAGGGCCAAATGTACCCTCGAAAAGGCGAAAATAGGGCGTAGATAGATATCATCTGTTTTCAAGAAGACTAGTTTTTTCGCATCTTTCTCTCGTCCTCATTTAGCACAGTGCAGAGAACTTCAGACCAAGAGTCAGTAGGGAAGTTATGAGTCCTGATTTAGCGTAATCGCTGAACTCTTGATGCATCTTCTATCTGCCAGGAACTAGGATCTGCTACCTCTTCTCCGACATCCGAGAAAGGGACCAGTATTGCAGCTGAGATTTGATGGATTGGGCTATCATCATGTTGGACGCACGCACAGATCTCTATGCCATTGAATAAGGCTACGTGGATGCGAAGTATGGAGAAGAAATTTTAAAACTTTTATATTCACCATTTCAGGGTTACAGTTGGTTTTCGCTTAATTTTTCTGGACGACAGTGCTCATCCTAGTAGAGCTAATCTGATGGATATTTTTTCTGGAAGGTAAGGATACTAATCGGATGGATTGGGCAGCTAGATTTCCATATTAAACACTACAGAACATGTCTGATGCACTCTTGGAAAGTTAGTTGGAACTTTCCATCTCTCTCCCAGAATCCGCCAGAACCTGCAAACAGATTATTGCAAGAGTAAAGATCTAC